TGCCAGAGCCTCCTTCCTAGAGCAGAGCCCAGCTGGCGAGCGCAGGAGGCGGGGGTTTCGTTGCTTCGCGCCCTTTTCGGGCACGCGTGGTTTTTTGCGCTTATCGGCAACTGTTCCCGGCTCCTTTTTGCAAGGCGCCGCCAGCATTTTTCCTCCCACCGGAGTGACAGTACCCATTTATCTACTCACGTGAGTTTTCAAACTGCTGGGTTGACAGGATAGTGTTATGTGGACCCAGCCAATTGTGGTTTATTCAATAAATCATAGTTAAGCCATTGGCTTATGCTGTTCCCCTTTCCTTCAATCAGCAGAGCAGTATTTCCTTTCTGAACTCATTTGGTTATCATAGCATTCCAAAGACTGCAGAGAAATTTCCACTTCTTAAGGCTAGCTGTTGTTCGTTTCCTAAAATCTCTAGCTACACATTGCTTGTCCAGAAACAGGAATCGAAAGTTTCCAAACTCCTGCCACCAGTATTCAGTACATAGATAGAGAAAGCATTTTGCATTGGCAAGAATCAAGCGGTGAAACGTGGCAATGAAAGTAACTCAGGAAAGGGTGAGAAAATCTTGCTGGCAGGACATACTGGCAGGGTCTCAGACGTTGCAGCCACATTACCAGCCTGCTCCTGTGTTAGGCTTGGAAGGTGACAATCAGAGCAGGGAACCAACCATAGAAGAGAGAAATGGGGAGGCAGCTGAGTGACATCTCTTGGCAAGGTGGGCTTCTGAGCTGCAACTGTCACCAAGGAGCAGCCAAGCAAGAATTGTTTAGGCTCTCCTGCAGTGAGAGTGGCTTAGAACCTAGGTTTGCTTGAGTACAGAAATTGCTGGCACCACCTGCTTTTGTGCTCCCTCTTTACTGTTAATGGAATGGTTCCTTATACTACCGAAGGCCCCAGGACATGGAGCAGGTGTGGGCTTCCTGGGATCCCAAGGTCAAGGGAATAGCACAGCCAGGATGCCCAGGACTTAGTTCCTCACTTTCCCCATGCCTTGCCTCTGCTTTACTATGGAACTCAGTAGGATAGATTTACTGTAAAGGGCACTGAGGGCATTTTCTCGCACTGTACTCAAAGCAGCCAGTGGTCCATCTCTGCACTATTTGCATGTCCTTGTGAAAAGCTTAGTGCAGGATTGGAAGAGGAGGAGCTGTGTTTGGACCAAGGGGCAATTACGGCCACTGTGGCTTTTGCATTTGATGAACAGATGCAGGAGACATAAAGAGTCCTCTGAGTGCCACCTCTGAAAAAGAAGGTTGCTGGCTGATGACCACGCGCAGAGGTGCATCTAGAAGGCCCGCGCTCTCCTCTAAACAGCAGGCCAGCGGCATTACAGTGCTGGGGTTCAGCCTCCCAGGGACGCCCGCATCCTCTCTCTCTGGCCTCTCCAGGACCGGCCCCCGCTTGCCCTGTGCTTCGCTGCAGCACCTGCTCCGACGGCTGGCCAGCTCCGAAGCCTGAGCCTGCCGCGCTCCTGGAGCCGAGGCCGCATGCAGCCGTCGGCTCAAAGCTCTCCCGTCCGAGGGCGAGAGTCTTCGAAAGCGCTCAGGCTGAGGGGACGCGGGGAAGTCGGAGCAGCAGCGGGCGGACGGGAATCCCTCGGCGCCCAGCTCCAGGGGAGAAACGATGCCGCGGAGCGTCGCGGGGAAAAGTTAGCAGCCAAGGTTTCCGACCGCCAACAAGCGCCCGGCCGCAGCGGAAGCCCTCCTGAGAGCTCCCTCCTCGCATGCGAATCTTGCGCCGCTTAAATTGCGCCTTTCTTCGCAAAACAATCGACCGATTATCTCTCACTGGAAGGAACCACCCCGGTGGCCGAGGGGTGTGTGC